TACGACCCAGCAATCCCACTCCTAGGTATCTACCCAAAAGACACAAAAACACTGATTCAAAAAGATACCTGCACCCCCATATTTATTGCTGCTTTATTTACAATTGGAAAAACATGGAAGCAGCCCAAATGCCCCAAAGTAGATGACTGGATTAAAAAGTTGTGATACATATATACAATGGAATATTACTCAGCAACCAAAAAAAAGTAACGCATGTCTTTTGCAGCTGGAAAAGATCATGCTGAGTGAGATAAGCCAGAAAGAGAAAGAAAAATAGCGGATGGTTTCACTCATAGCAGAAGTATAATGGACCAGGCGAGAAAATAATAAGAATAATGAACAGCCATATACCAAGAGACATTTTGTGGGGGTGGAGTGGGGAATGGGAAGAAAAATGGGGGGGAGAGGGGTGGGGAAGTGCACAGGACTATGGTGATGGCACACGGGTGACTTGGTGATGGGAAACCCCACAGGGATTACAATTGAGATGAAAAAAAATGTACAAAATGATGTAAAAATAAACGGTTATATTATATAAATAAATAAAATAAGAAAAGTCATTTGTATGTGGGATAATGGAATAGACTTTTGTTGATGCTTATAAAATATGCAGATGTCAAGTTATAATGTTATAAACCTGGAACTTATATAACATTATAACCCAATGTTACTTATTAAAAATTTCTTTAAATCATGGTGAGAATTGTAAATCATGGGTTATTTATTGCTTTTATTTGGTTATTTTGGAGGTGTGGTTGTGGGAGAGAGCATTTCCATGATTTGAAGTGTGTGTGTGTTCTTCAGCTGCCAGAGTTAAGTATAGGAGCCTATGAAATTAACTTCCTCCCCACCACTAGGTGCTTGCAGTTACTACCCAGGTAAGGCTCTGGTGCATTGACAAGTGTATTGAAAATTATACTGCCTATAAACTTTTAAACAAGAAACATCATTAACGATTGGTGCTTATATATGTGTATTTTCTCTAGGCTAGTGGAGAGAGGGTGAATTTAACAATTGCTAGACCAGGGAAACCCCAGCCAGCTAACACTATCCGAGAAGCAGGAACTCAGAGCAGCAGCCAACACCATGCACAGCCACTGTATCACAGCAGACCCAACTCACATAAGGTGAGATTTTTTTGTGTTTTTTAATTCACCATTCTTAAAGGACAGTTGTTACGAGCACATAAAATTTAAATGAATGTTATTCTGTTGGAAAAGGGGAACAGTGTTTGGGATGTGTATTGTATATATTTTGCAGCCTTGGAGAGTGACTTATTAATTTAGTTCCTCAGCCATTAGTTTCTTAGTGAAGAATATCCCTCTGCTAGGTGATTGGTACAAAATGTTTTATCTTTCAGAAATACCTATTTGTTAGTTCTGTTTTAAAAAGTGGGGTTTATCTCAGGTTGCTCATTAAAATTAATGGTTGATTATATGATTAGAAAGCGTAATGAAGGCTGCCTACAACAAAATTAGGTATGTGAACATTAGACATGAAAATCATAAATTTTGACAGGTATGTATATAGCATATTTCTTTTGGTTATATTTTATAGAAATACCTCCCTGAGTCATTTAAAATTCCTGTATGTAGAGCTATTTTATTGCTTCTTAAATATTTCACTGATTTTCTAATCTATTCCTAAATCATTTATCTGTGCTGAGAATGTTGACACTGTAAATTTAGTTGCAAAAAAATGGTGGTTCTTTGCTCAACTCTAATAACTTCATTTGATCCTTCCTTTGAACTCAAATTCTACCAGGCTAGAATTTTTAAAACAATTATATCTATATACAACTATGTGAAAATATAAACTAAATATGATCTTTCAAATTCCTTAAGTAAAATAATTTTTTTAGTATTTTCCTATGTGCTAAAAAAAGGGTTCTTACTGTAAGTACAATATTTGAGAAAATAATTGCCTTTGAAATGTTGTAGGTACTTTAAGAAAGCATCACATAAAGGTGCAAGTATTTTTGGTTTATCGGTTTTGTCTGGTTTTCTGAGCCTAAATACAAACTTATCACTGACCTTTGGTTTAGTTAATACTTATAAAATTATAACCTCAGATTTTGTTCCCCTTTCTTGAACAAAACATAACAAAATGTGTGAAGGAAATCTATATTTTCCCTTCATAACTATGACTGTGAAAAAGAAATTATGTTTTGAATAGGAATTGTTTCATATAATTTGTCCCTTCCTTGTAAAAAATGCATATTACCTAATTCCTTAACTAATGAAGTTACTTAATGGGTTATTATTGAAAAGTCTTTGGTATTACAGAATATGTTTAATCCTACTTGAAAGTGGGATTTAACTTGGGTTGCTCATACAGATGTAGCTATATATATTCCTAAAGGATTTCTTTGAGAATCTTTTATGTCATTGAATTATACAATAACTTGATATGGATTGTCTATATCAACATTATAATTTTAACATACTTTTTAAAACTGTACTTACAGCATTCATATAGAAAAGTCTGTTTTATGCTTTTGTTTGGGGTACATACATTTTTCTCTCTTAACTGTTAATTCTTATTCTCTAATTTTATGTGACAATTTTTTTAAATAGTAATGCAAAATTTTTTGTTATTCTAGGGACTCTGTAAACCTGGTTGCTTTTAAGTACTAATTTAGCTATTTATCTCTAATGTATGGTTATTGTTGTGTCAAATCTGGATTTAGAAAAATCAAGGTCTTCTAGGAAAACAAACAAATTCACCAAAACAACCAGTTTAGATGAATTTCTTTGTTTTCCCTAGGAAACCTTTATTTTTCTAAACACAAAATATATTATAATTCTATAAATTTAACTCATGCATTTGCATTGTTGGTATTAATAATGTTAATAGTTTACAACATTCTCTTGTAATTGACAAAAAACTTTTAGAAACTAGGAGCTTCCACTGTTGCAGTATGGTTTAGAGACATATGAACAATATGTGCATAGTGTATCATATTTGTACATCACAGAATATACTTTACTTTTGACTCACATGGCTTAAATACCTGTGCAACACTTATGTTGAATTTGGGGCAAGTTACATGGTTATATTTCTCATCTGTAAGTGGAACCAGTAATAAATTTACTTTTATCACCATATGAAAATTAAATAAAAATAATGCATGCAAAGCTGAGATTTGCCCACAGTAAGTTTTCAATCAGTATTATTTATTATTAATTTAATAATAGTATTTCATACACATACTTTGTTCTTTCAATTGTATTCCATAAAGTGATGTTTTAATTTCTTTGATTACTTCAGGAGTATCTGTAATAAGTAGCCATAACAAGTGTTTAGCAAAAGTGACTTTTCCCTGAGAATGTAGTTTATTGGGAATTTATCCAAAATTCAATTATTTTTCATCCTTGTAGCTTTTCATAATATACTTGCCTCTGATAATGCCTATCCATCAGAATGAGAAGATAGGTCTGTAATTTTTTCTGCTTTGGAAAACTTGACAGTTTCTCAATAAATTAACTATAGAGTTACTTACTATATGATCTAGCAATTCTGTTGCTAGATTTTCTGGACTTTTGTAACATCCACACTTTACAGTTATACCAGTCTGCCAACTTTTCTTTGAAAAAATAGAGGCAGTAGAAATAAATTGACTTGTCTCCAGAATCTTAGAATTCAAATGCACTATTTACTTTTATAGAATTGGTCATAGCTTAGAGCTCAAGATAATTATGTAAGTGATATGCTTATTTTACTTTGATCAGCAGTCCTATGTTTTCTATTCCATAGTCATGAAAGTATAATAGTACAAAATTTGACTTTGTGATTCACAAAGCTCAGCATAGTGAGCATTGTATATCTGAAAAACTTATTATTTTCATTTCTAGATTAACTGATTTTTTTTAAAAAAATGACTTTATAATTACCACATAAATTTTTAACTTTAAACTATCTATACTTCAACTGTCTATTATTCACTATCCAATAAACTTTTCTTCTCATGTTTTAGGATCTTACCCAGTGTGTTACATGCCAAGAGAAACACATAACAGTGAAGAAGGAACCACATGAATCCCTTGGAATGACCGTAGCTGGTGGCAGAGGAAGTAAAAGTGGTGAACTGCCCATCTTTGTAACCAGTGTGCCTCCTCATGGTTGTCTTGCACGAGATGGCAGAATCAAGAGAGGTAAATTCGAGTCTTGAATAATTTTTTTAAAGATTTTTTAATTTAATGATGCCTACAGAACTGGGATATAGGCCAGAGGTGCAAGGTTGGTGAGAAGATTCACCAAAGTCAAGAGTGGGGAGCAGAACAGGCAGATTGACAAAGTACACTGCTGAGGAGAGCAGTGAATGAGACAGGAGAAGTCTGCCCCACCATATGGGTCACCTCTGGGGTGGGGATCGAACTGGCAACGAAGTGGTGGAGGCCAGCTTTAACCCACGCACCACCAAGGAGGGTCAATCTTGAATAATTTCACCAGATCTCTCTAAATTCAACTCGCAGTTTTGAAAATTAAGAATGTCTACTAACATTCCACTGAGAATATCTTTTTAAAAAATTCGGGGCCCTCCCTGGTGGCGCAGTGGACTAAAGCACAGCACAAAGAAGCTTAAGCCACTTCCGCATGAGTTCTATACCTGCCTGCCCTGGAGGTGACCACATGGCGCAGCAGACCTCTCCTGACCCGCCCGCTGCTCCCCTCAGCAGTGTATTTCGTCGATCTGCCTGTTCTGCTCCCCGCTCTGTCTCTGGTGACTCTTACCCTCTTACCCTCCGCATCTTTGGCCTGTACCCCAGTTCTGTACGAATAAATAAATAAATCTTTAAAAAAAAAAATTCTTTAGACTGCTCCATGCATATGTAAGCGTAAAACATTCTGTTAAGGTTAAAAAAAAAAAAAAAAGCCTAATAGAAAGCAAAATTTCCAAAGCTTAATGATGTTTCTGACAGTAATTGTTAGATTTTATTATGTTGGAATAGACTTTCTAAGATTCATGCTTTCCACATTATGGCAGACCAGATATTTTAAAACACTATCATGCTAAAATACAAATGTTGCACATGATAGAGTCTAAGTGGGCATGGGGAGGCTCACCAGAGGAGATAGAGCAAAAGGCATACTTAAAAGATAATGGTTCTAGGGATCAACTCATTAACAATTCACATTTGCATCTGTCTTATCTATTTGGGGTGGTAATAGTAAAAATAACATTCTCTATATATTTAGTTTGTTCTTATGGAAAAATAGGTCTTTAAAACTATTTTTTCAAAAATGAAGTTGAATCCCTAGCTTGCACCATTGATGAAACCTAGCTTATAATGGAGGTAGGCCTGAATGTAAGAGCTAAATCTTTTAGAAGAAAATGCAACTGTAAATCTTCATGATCTTGGATCAGGTAATGGGTTAGTCAGTGGTTTCTTAGATATGACAACAAAAACAAGCAACAACAGCAGAAAGATAAAGTAGTAAAGTAGACATTATCAAAATTAGTTTTTGTGCTGCATGTTTGTGTTTTCACAGTAGTTAGAAAGAGGAAACAACCCAAATGTCCATAAACTGGTAGCTGGATCAACAAAATGTGCTATAGCTATACAATAGAATGTTACTGGCTGTGGGTTCCTATAACACATGGGCAACTCTGACCTATTTGCTGTCTACAAATCACAGCAGAGAATTCCTTGATTACCTACAGAGTATAGAGCTTATATCATGAGACAGGCCAGGGGAAGCCTAGGCCACTGTTGACTGATTACGTGACTGTCTCCATGGTGGTCTCAGATAACTCTGCCTGTGATAACATCTTACTTTGCTGACACAGATGATTTTTGACACATGATCACAACATCCCCTTCTCTGTCGCTAGTAAAACTTTGTCCCCCATTCCTCTCCCACCCTCCAGACTTTATTCCTCACACCATTGTTGCATGATCAGCATTTACTAACCTGTATTCTTTCAATAAATGGCAAAAGAACTTCTACTCAAGTAGCAGAGTCTTGCCTTGCAAACTTGCTTCACAACTGTCACCATCATCATGCTCCTGCCTAAAAGTCCTGTTGCAACAACTGGCCATAAAAAGGGATGACGTACTGACATGAGCTATAATATGAATGAATCTTTAAAACTTTATTCTAGGTGAAAGAAACCAGTCACTAGAGAGCATGTATGATTCCACTTGCATAAAATGTCTAGAATAGACAGTTCTGTAGAGAAAGAAAGTAGATTAGTATAGAAAGAAAGTAGGTTAGTTAGGGCTGCAGAAAGGGAAGTAATTTTTACAGTGACTACACTGAAAACCATAAAACTGTATCCTTTAAATGAGTGAGTTGAATAGCATATGAATTACCTCTACTAAAGCTGCTAGTGTTAATTTAATTGCCCACTTGTGGATTTTAGCTTATTTTATTTCTTCCTGTTACTTTATGATGTTTTCTACAATGAGCATTTTTTACTTTAATAATCTGAAAAATGATGAATTGGGGAAAGAGGATTATCTATAGGTTCAAATGTTTGTGCTTCCTACAGAACTAATCCTTTCCTTCCTAACCTTTAATATAATCCTCAATGCCCTTTTTTATTATATTACTTGGCAAATCAGCATTTTTTTTTTCCTCAAGCAAGATATGTTCAAATCTCAAGTTTTATTTCTTTGGTGAGGCTAGGGGTGTCTTTAGAATTTAATACATTTATGCTGAATGAACTATGTAGGTCTGTCTTCATGTATAAAACTGTGCAAATATAAAACAGACAATTTAACATTCATTTCTAAGAGCAAAGGGTCAAATAGTTTTGAATGGAAAGAACTATTGCAGACAGTGAAACTCAGGGAAGAGAAATGGATATATCCAGAGCTTGTGTGCACCTAAAATAGGGCTAACAACTAGAAATTTGATGGGAATCACTGTGTCCTAAATCCCATTTGTTCCTGTATGTTAGGATTTAAAATTTTGAATTGGTTTGGAATATTTTTCATGAGTTGGAATCTTTTTCTCTCAATGTTATAAATGTTACAAAGAAGGTGTAAACACTGTAAACATTTTAAAATTATCTGAGGTATTAGAGCTAATTCTTGTTGATTCGTTTATAGGGAAATTATGGTAGCTTGACAAGTTTTTCTTCTTCACTTGAACAGGTGATGTTTTACTGAATATCAATGGCATTGACTTGACCAACTTAAGTCACAGTGAGGCTGTTGCCATGCTGAAAGCCAGTGCTGCATCCCCTGCTGTTGCCCTGAAAGCACTTGAGGTTCAGATTGTTGAGGAGGCAACTCAGACCACAGAAGAGCAGCCAAGTACTTTCAGTGAAAATGAGTATGATGCCAGCTGGTCCCCATCATGGGTCATGTGGCTTGGTCTTCCAAGGTATAAACAACTACTACTATTTTGACAAATAATCATAGTTGCAACTTTGTTGGTATTTAACAGCAAATTCACTTACAAAGAGGGAGAAAGGCTTTAGTTTGGCAGAGTAACAACATTAACTCAAGTTTCAATAGAAAATGGTCATTTTTCTTAGTTATTATATCTAAAAAAGATCAATTTTGGCAATTAAGACTTAAGTTAAAGTGACTTTTACCTGTTTATCAAAAAAAATAAAGAAATTCTGTCACTCCTAAGATTAGTGGAGTGGGCTGGCAATGAGATTGGATAGTCTGTCTCTTTCTTTGTAAATCTACCTTTTCCCAGTGTTTATTTTGATATGTGCTGAGACTTCATGTGCATTCTTTACCAGGAAAGCCAGGTGAAAGTGTGGAACCTCTCTCTATCCCAGAATCCTTTTTGAGAACCCTTTATTAATTCTTTTAATTAGTCCTGAAAGTCATGGAATAAAGCTTATTGTTTATTGGATATAATAGTCTTTAAGCCAGATAATTGGTGTTTAGGAGTAGCCGCTGTTAATCAGCTTTATAAAGGGCCCGCTGTGGCCTGAGGACTGTGACCAGCCAAGACACTCTTGCTCATGAAAGAATGATCCCTCTGACAGTGTATGATTTGATATTATTATATTTGTTTCAAATCAGTTTAGATTATGTATGTAAGAATCCAAAAACCAATAATATATAATGAGACATTTTAACTTAGCCAAGTATGAAAATAAAAAACACTAAAAATGTGCAAGTTTCTGAGTGTCTAACTTCATTTGTAATAAGCTTATATTAACAACTAGCGTATATATATGCTTTATGAAGAACTTTCACATAGGAATATTAGAAAAAGCAATTGCATTTATTGGATTTCATTTGCTGATAGATATCTAGCTGGTTGATTTGTCCTCTTGGTTTAAAAAAAAACTTTCTAGGCCTGAAGCTCTAACAGAATTCATCTTAGGAACTTGAATCTTAGAAGTTGAGGTTGTATTGTGGACCTTATAAAGAGACAGATTTTATAAGGACAAAGGTAATTTGATGTTTATGAAACGGATTCTGTGTATGAAACGGATTAATTTTCTCCCATTGAAAAATCAACGAAGATTTAAATGGTTGGTATTCAACTCCTTGTAGACATGCTATCTAACTTGTGAAGTTTCAGTCATCAGGGGAAACCTCATTTTTCTTGTGAAATACTCAGCCCAATATTTGACTTGTTAGTTTAGACATAGAATATCAGACAGGCCCCTTCACACTCTAGGGGCAAGAAGTTGTCTATTTGTGCTGTTCAGCCAAGCAGGTCTGTATCACAGCTAGGAGGTCAGTATTTTTACCTCTATGTGAGGCATTTTCTAGTGTGTCAGGAAGATTAACAAAGTTTTTAGGTGAGAAAATATGAAAGATAGCAATCTATTTTTGAACTGACCAGTGTCAGTGGAAGTCCCTATTCTGTGGATACCCAAAGGCCTCTGTTGTATGTGAACCTGTATCAGCAACAGCCAGTCAGAAGATACTTGTCACCCCTTTCAGCAGGTATCAAATTACAAGGGGAAGCAACTCTGCTTTTCTGGAAAAGAGAGGTGGTTCAACTGCAGTTTTCAAGGAGTGTATGGGACAAGTATTTGTTTTTTGTAGAAGATTGAGAGCCATGAATGTAACGTATACTTTTTCTAAAATACCAGGTCAAGACATGGGACCCTATTCTATCCCAGAAGCTTTAAAAAAAAAAAAACCTTTTCTTATCAGTGAGCTAAGAAATTAGTTCATATTAGAAGTTCTAGCATATTATATGTTTTTTACAAACTTGAATTAAGAAGTCTTAAAATAGGAAACTTTGGGCCCTCCCTGGTGGCGCGGCGGGTTGAGGCGCAGCACTAAGAAGCTTAGGCCACTTCTGCATGAGTTCGATTCCTGCCTGCCCCGGAGGTGACCACATGGCGTGGCAGGCCTCTCCTGGCCCGCCCGCTGCTCCCCTCAGC